AACTCTACTTGCACAAGTATTTAAAAAATGTCAAGTAAGGACATTGAAAGAAGTTCGTATTGTTCATGTATTGTTTTTAAATGAGTTTAAGCGAAAACCATCACATTTCCAGTCAATGACAAAGACATGTATTGAGTGAATTCATGGTATTGAGAAAGGTAGATTTACTTACCGTTTTTATCCAACTTGCATGTGTTATTCAGTGCTAGATATAACAAAGCATGTAAACATGATAAATGGCCAAAAGCGGGTAAAAGAAATTCCTACAACCAAATTCACACTTCGTCTAAAACCTGCACGTTTCCCATACAAACAGCTGATAATCAATGTTGATCAAATGTTTGGGTCATGCAAAATTCTACTTACCGTCCAAACGTTTTGGTGATTTCATGAAGACTTTAAATTTCACCAGGTATAACCATTCATTTGGGTGTATACAAATCGTGAACAGAGTATCCTCTACTCGATGGGAAGATAATACATACATGTATGTCTTATCTTATCAAATTTGCATTTTTGAGAGATATTTTTTGCTGGAAAGCATTATATGTTTATTGAAGAAAAAATAAATTTCTGAGTGTTTTGACACGTAATGATGAATTAACATATGGACAAGCCATGATTTTATATCATATTTTCTCACCTATAAATCTTATTCTATAAGTTTGTAAATATATTATTTAATAATTGAATAAGTAGAAATTGAATAAATTGACAAACAATTTATTTTTAAAGAAAGGATGCGTGTTGGGCAATACACTGTATTAATTGAGGTGATACAATGTACATTCCATCCACAATATCGCATGTTGTATTATACTCAGTGATTTATCAGTGTTAAGTGAATTTGAATCAGATCATTTGGGACCAAAATGGCGTTTCAACGGAAGTACGCCATGTTGTAACATTGTAAAGAGCCCCCTTAATCTTATTATTTGTTCCTATTACATGGACCTGATCACTTGGCTTTAATGAATTACTGTACTAAGAAGCCTGTATCAATATTTAGGGCCCCGCAAGGATTTGCGGGTGCCCTATAGTAATCACTCTGTCTGTCTGTCTGTCCGTCTGTCATTCTTCCGTCCACAAATTTTCTGTTTTTTCCTAATAACTTTTTTTATGGTAGCCCAATTAAGTTCAAATTTGGTATGGTAGTTCAGTAGGCAAAAAGACATATTTTGATGCTAAGTTTGTTTCTCTATGTCCTCTGGTTTGGAGCTGGGGTGGTGGGGTAGATTCCTTAACTTTATATAAGAATGAATTGGGAAAGAGAGATAACTTCTGAAAATGTTGTAAACTGAATACTGCAATGAATGAGCCCCTTGGGATTAATTAGCTTTCCTCCTGAAGAAAATCCAAAGCATTATCTTTATCTGTCACATTGAGATTAATTACCACCTCTGTCTGCAAATGAAGTTTGTTTTGAAGTTAAGTCCATTTGGAATGCTATGAACACTATGAAATGTGGATTGAAGTATAAATGTTTTTACTTTATTTTTGTTGAAATAGCCTACACGATGAGTTTTAATTTCATTGACTTTGAAAAAGAAGAAATAGATTAAAGAAGATATATTTTTTATTTTTATTTGTTTATTTATTTTTTTTTCTTCATGAAAATTCAAGAATATTATTAATTTTTAAGGCAGTTGGATAAAAACCTCGATCATTCTATCATTGCTGAAAAAGTTATTATTATAAATTAAGAAGAAAATGATGAGAGAGAAGTACAATTAATCCCTTGGGATTAATTATCTAGCCTGCTGCAGGAAATTTAGAAGGCTTATCTTTATCTGTCACTTTAAGATTAATGAAAACCTTTGTCTGCAACTGCTGTTTGTTTTGAAGTTAAGGTCAAGCCTTCATGATATGTATTTGCATTCATTGAAGGCTGGCATTTTATATAACAAAAGCTTCACTATTATTTAGATATACATTCAGTGTTGAGTTGTTCTTTACTGCCTTATGTAAAATAAATACAAGGATATTATTTACAGGTTTTTGGACATTCGGGAATTATCTTGAAATTTTAAGAATACAGTTGCTGTTTCTTATTCGTCATGTATTTCTTAAATCATTCCATAAGCTGCACCCTTATAATTCTACCTCATAGCGGGGCCCTTGCTGACTGGTCAGTTTTCTAGTTACTTTGTATACCAATAATTCTGCATGGACCTGTATGTGATTCAGCATTTATGAATTCATCTACTGATTTCATGCAATGTCTGGTCTTATGGGGGAATAGATTGATGACTTATAAATGCAATTTTTGATAATGACTTAGTGGTCATGTGCACTATTGATAGAAATATTTATATCAGAAAAGTTTGGTAGTAAGCATGTTAAGAGTCATACAAGATATAATTTTACGAAAAAAATTTCCTTGTTGTTTATTCAGTTTATTGGCACCTGCTTTGAAGGTAGAAATAACAGATAGACATTATTGTTATATGTAATTCTAGACGTAGGTGTCATATTATATATGTTATTGTATACTATGAAAGCAGCTAGGGAAGTCCGTAATTTAAAGCAATATGAGCTGCATTTTTGAGAATTTTATTTTGCTGGTAAAATGTGTTATTATGATTAATATGTATGTAATCTAAACCCTTATGATCAATAAAACCAAAATAAAGTTTAAAAATGTTTCAGAAGAAATATTTCTGTACAACCGAATATACAGTAATAAGAAATCATTATTGTACAGGACGACAATAATTCAATTTTGCTTCAATCAGCGCGTATTAAAAGTTCTTTCATAGCAAATATGAACAAAGAAGTTTATAAATGTTCTATTTTTCTGTCATTGAAATAGTTAATTACAAATTTGCAACATTTTTTTCCGATGTCAAACATGCAGCTCATATTGCTTTAATAAAATTCAAAATTTCCACACAGATCATGGTTATTTACAAGGTGTAATAAATCATACAATTCAGTAACACTGAGTCCAAGAAGAATGACATACCGGTAATAGCAGTTTGTATGAGATAAATTATAAATACCAGGGTAAAGCTATATATAATGAATAAAGCTACGAAAATGATATATTTATAAGAAAAAAACATTGCATAATGCATATGCTGTTATTAGGATGAAATATGACATGTTCTTACAAGTTAATTGTGACGATAAATGACTAGAATGATGAGAACAGGAGCTCACAGTGAATTTTTGTCATTTGATCTGTTTGATAAAAATAGATTATATTTTATGGAATCTGTAACATTATAAATTCAGTCAGTAATTTATTATTATGAAACATCAATACAAAATGTGTCATTGTGGCAAAGTCATGCCTGAATTGAACCACTCCTCAAGATATATTTTTAAAAAATTAGGTCAGATGGTTGCATAATATAGGCAATCTGATCTACCAGTATATCTATAATGGAAATAAAAGACATTGCATTCCACTTCAAGCAGTATAATTTAGAAACAGATCATATATGCTCCTTTAAAACATACCAGTATACTTATACTGTTACAGTTAAAGTAATATTACGTTTACAGGTTTTATGAAGTGAAGGAAGTCATCTTACATGGTATTTAGAATGATGGTTGTGTAATGAAGGTTAATGCAGAAAAAAATTTAAAGCTCACATTTAAAAAGGAATATTGCTCAAGACAGGAAGATCGATATGCAGGTTTAACTTTCTAGTGGAGGATACAAATATACACTTAGTGATCAAGATCTCGGGTTGTTCTACTTCAGAAGAATTTTAAAAATGGATATATGCTTATGTAATTTGCTTTATTAGATAGCATATAAGTAGTTTAATGTGACAAAAACTGCAAGAAGTCTATATAATTTTAATATTCAATATCTTGGCACTCAATTTGTATTACACACATGTTACATATAATATAAATATACATACTAGAAACATTCCAAATGTAAGCATTCAATATTGAACTCTCCATTGTAAACAAAAAAATGTGTTGTCAATATAATGATATATGAAATAATGAAATAATATATGAAAGGGCACAACAGCTACTTAAATGTGGTTATTTTTACGCAAAGTTGAAAATATTAATTAGTCATTTGGTACCTATAATAGCTAGGTGTCAATAAAAATCTCAATAAGCAAATTCAAATACTTAGTGGGTCAGTGAAATGATGTGATATATCGCATGTTGAATAGGCCTACTTCCCAGACAGATGCTGATATTACACGATTTAATTAATTTTAATATCGATGCTGGAAAAATTCTCATTAATTTTGAGTTATATCAATAAATAATTAATATCAATCAATGGTAAAATGTTTTAGCTACACAGGATATAATAAAAGAGTTTTTGAACTTATATTGAAGAATATTGGCACTCGTTGACTGTACATATCCACTTATAAGTTTGTGCATTTGTATATCTGACTTGTGCCAATATTCAGCAATATTTAAGTTCAAAAACCCTTTAGTGTGTTTGCATAACAGGAAGGTTATATATTCCCTATAGGGCTAGCTGTCGGTTCCATATTCTTCTGGGTGAGGTTGGTTCTAATTTTTTTTAAATTCCGGGTTTTTCAGTTTGGGTATACAATAGAATAAAAAATCATGATTTGAATAATATATTTGACCAAAAAAAATTTTTTTTTAATCTAACAAACAGCAACATAATGTCTAGTTTAAACTAGTTTCCTGACTAGAAAAATAATTGAACCAAATGATTCAAATTACATAATACAATTTTTGAAATATTTCCACACTAATGAACCTTTCATTTTAAACACCATTTTTAAGGTAAAACCTTTTCTGCTATACAAATTGGAACTGAACTGAATTCAGAAAAAAAAAAACCAGTACCCGACCCGAAATAATTGTTCTGCAGTTCTCGCCAATGACAGCCCTCATTTCTTTCAGTAAATCTTAAACTTTATACATGTATTTCACTGGAATATAATTTGCTCTTTTAACTTATTTTAAAATTTTGATGAAAATAATTTAGTTGACATCTACAGACTGTGAAAAATAAGAGGGATGCTTTTTTTTGTTTTCAGGGTGCTTACTACATGAGGATGGGACAATATTAAAGCCGGTGCAGTGTCCCCCCAAAGGTCAGAGGGAGGTGGAGTTTTACCAGGAACTGTTCTCCGAACAAAAGTCCGATGATAAAGTGCTGCTACAATTACGTGACCTTGTGCCAAAATTCCATGGATTGGTACATTCTCCAAAAGAATCTGATGGTAAAACAATTAATTAATATTTTGGACTTTTTAAAAAAGTTTTCAGCTATATCATATAGAATCAAGTAAGCTGTAAAATTTATTTGAAAACAACCAAATTCAGGGAATTGTGGTAGGGAATTGTGGTCTCTCTGCTTTCAGGGTGTTATTCGTTGTGTTGGGTGGATTTCTGTGGTACATGTATACTGTAAGTTTGTAACCGTCTTGTCCTGTTTCATTTCTTAAAAAATTTCAAGAACACAAAGAATCCAAGCGGGTGTAGGTGGGAACACAAAAGAAAATCTGACTGTTCCAGAGTGAAGGAATGAATGTTGTAATTTTTTTTTTTTTTTTTAAATTAGCTAAGAGTAGGGCTAATATGTGGGGTCAAGTTTTACATATATAGCTTGTCTACAGGAAAAGAAAACACTGTGACCGTGTTAGTCATACTGATAAATGAAACATCCTCAGGATGTGTGAATTCATGTTCAGTTTATATGATCCCTTAAAGCTAGAGTGTGGCCACAATATGAAGTCAGAATTTTTCATGTTCATGTAAGTGTAGCTTAGCCAGTGAGCATTGTTGTCCATGGGCGTCTTAGCAGTTCTGAGCATCCCAACACATTTCATTTCCCACCTTGAATTATATACATGTACGTGTAACTTTGCCTGATTTTCACAATATTGACTTTTAATGGGGCAAATGCTTTGCAAAAAACAACATTGTAAATATTGAGCTGGGCCACATTATTGCAGGTAATGCACATTTTCCATGAAAATTGTCCATATGTTTCTGATATAGATTAGAAAATGATTTTTTTAAAGGTATTAACTTAATTAACAGGTCATAAATTAAAGTCAGTCTGGAAGGGGTTTGTTACATGTACACGGTAATGCACTAAAATATGATAGCCCTGTCTCGATATCTTTAGTTGCTGAAGCTATAGTCAAGGTCAAAATTTTTAGAAGTATGTCAGACTTCAAGATTATAGGGGTTCAGAAAGGATTTGTCAAAGGTAATTAATACACATGTTAAATATGAAAGCCCAAACTTCTCTCTTTTAAAAGTTAAGACCAGTGTTCAAGCTTCCATAAGATTAAGACAAACAGAAAAATAAAAGTAGGGCTAAAAGAATAATTAGATAAATTCGCTAATTTTCAATATAGTATTTCTTGTTTCTCAGTCAGGGGCCTCTAGCAATTTTATATTATTCAATAAATGGGGCACACATGCATAAAAATGCGATTGCGATTTTTTGTCATTTATTTCGTTGATTTGTGGAGACCATGTGTACATAGCTATAAAGCTGTTTGGTTACTGGGCAGAGAGTTTGTTTGCAGAGTACAGTTGACCAAGTTTTGAATGTTCACATATTCATATCAACATATTTCAATTTATATTGACTGCTTAAATTTTTTCCTCATACTTCATTGTTGATTTTTTGTGAAATGACATGCCCAACGGTTAAATATTGATTTTTATCCAGAAACATATTCAACAAAGCAATTTAAAAGTAGAGAGTTAAATGAATATTGATCCTATTTAAATTATCAAATGCCTTTTGCTTTAAATCAATTGAAAACAAATATGGAGAAAAAAATTTATGATGCTTGTCGGCCAGGCCATTTAACATTTTATAAAATAGAACAGAATATCAATATAATTTTTCAATGAACAAAACATTACATGCTCTGATAATGCAGATTTATGGCAAACCTATCCTAAACTAGAGGTACTTTGAGCACTGAGCTCACTAAATGATACCCCATGCTCCCAAATGAGAATATATAATCGCAAATAATACTGTAGGTCACTTAATTTTTGCGACACCTTATTTTCGCGAGATAGTCATTGACTCTTTATTAGCGAGACAAAATTTTCATGAATTGTGGTCATTGGTCTATATAATCTTAAGGAATTCTATTATATGTGAGAATGAAATTTTCGCGAGCTTACTGTCTCATGTAATTACGTGAAAATAAAGTTCTCGAGAATAAAAGGTGATTTACAGTAATACATGTAATAGCTTGATAAATTAACAAACTTTTTGGTACATATCTACATGCAAAGCTAAGGGAGATAACATAAACAACCCATCAAAATTTCTTAATGAAGAAACTGTTAAGTTTGACAAGAACATTTTAGAACATGCTTTAAGATCAAGTCTTGGTTCTCTATTAGTTTTGAGATGTCTAATATACACATTCAATTTTATCTTACCGACCAACATATTCCTTTTTCAACACTAAATTCATTCCATGGTTATTTGCATTTTATGTCAGAAAATATAATTGTACTAGAAGTAAAAATGAACTAGGGAGTAAATTATATCTTTATTGTGTACATAACTTCTCTGCATTTTTTGTTTTTTAGCTCGCTTCATGAAACTGGAAAACTTACTTTTGGACATGAAGCATCCATGTGTTCTGGATATTAAGATGGGGAGGAAAACGTATGACCCCCAGGCCTCGCAAGAGAAAATGGCCCTGGAAATTGCCAAGTTTCCTCCAGCACAGAACATTGGGTACCAGATCTCTGGAATGCAGGTAAGAATAGAGTAAAACCTGCAAAAGTTTATATCCAACATGGAAAAAAGAAGTAAATAATCATTTTAGCTATATTTTTGACTTGTGTTCAAGTTTTATATTAATGACTGCCAGTCATAATAAAGATTTTCTCCTTTATAGATTAGATATATTAATTAGGATTTTGGTGGTTATGTACTGGTGGTCTGGTTCAAAATGTAGTTTAATTAATATACAAAATTTTTCTTTCAGACGTATAGTCCAAGCACTGGAAAATCACAAAAGTTTGACAAGTACTTCTGCAAAAACTTGAATGAAGAAACTATTGTTTTTAAAGGTAAAGTTGAAAAAAAAGTTGACTTTAATTAAAGGCACTCTTTACTTAGGAAGTAGTTCCCTACGTTGCACAGTGTTGGAGCATTTACTCTAGAGTTGCAATGTAAGGAGTTGATCTTTACGGGTTCAAATCCCACTGCAGGACCTGAAAACAGGTCCCGTGTCACAGTAGATGCTGGCATGAGAAAGATCCCTCACTGCTCAAAAGGCTCTAAGTGCTGAGTACATGCAGGTCTAAAATTGCAGCCTTCCACTGGCAAGCGTCTCATCTCATTGAGTGAAAAATTCTTAAAGAAACATTAAACAATCAAACAAATATTTAATATTTTTCTCTGATAAGACTATGTTTTAAAAAATTAAATTTTAGTTCAGTTTTAATATAAATATATAAAAGAACTGGATAAAAATTCACACCTTTGGTATTTGCAGGGTTTGGAAAATTCTTCTCCCTAGATGGCGTTTTGCAAAAGGAAGTGATAAAAGCTGTGATAGTGAGGCTGAAGGAAATTTTAGAGTGGTTCAATAAGCAGCGGACCTTTCACTTTTTCGCCAGTTCCATTTTAATTGTGTTCGACGGCGATGTGAACTCTCCCCTATCATCTAAATCTCCCACGTCTTCCGCCGGTCTCAAGGGGAGCGTCGCCGATAACTGCTGTAACGGCGATACAGACTCCATTATTGAAAATGATTTCTCAGATGTGATCTCCAGTGATTTTGTGGATTCAGTGACGGACGGTCAGTCTGAATCTGTTCATCCTAAAGTTCAAGTGCGTATGATAGACTTCGCTCATGTTTACCATATGCCGGAGGAGGATGAAAATTATGTTTTTGGATTGAAACATTTGATTGATGATTTACATCGATTGTTAAACAGTTAGTAAAGCATTATCTGTTAAGCATTTTTATTTATGAGAATTATAAGGCTGTAGTGTTTTCACACATCTGTGAAGGTTGTTGATATTTATTTTGTTGTAAATGATCTTACAATTATATAACGAGACTTACTGAGCAATTAAGTAACAGTATGACAGAACAATAATGATGGAACAAATATCAAAAGTGTGAGAATAATATGTATTTTAGAATGAAAATATCCCTTTGTCAGCTATGGTGCAAAAATTGTTGAATGTTTTATAGCTGTTATGAAATGAATGCGTTAATTGTGCTATAAGTAATTATTGTCTGTTGTACTCTCTGATTTCAAAAGTAGGTGCTCCGTGTTTTCTTGTTTCTTATTTTTCCTGTATTTTTCTTAAGGCTTTTAATATATCTTTTGTATCATTTCAAGTAATGCAAACTGAGTTCTGTATTTGTATAAAATAATTTCATGTCATAAGCCTTTCATAACTTCCTCTTTGAACAGCTTTTAAAAGTCAGAGTAATTATTTTTCATACTTGAAAAGAATTGTTTATCAACAGAGTAGCTCTATAACACTTTGTGCCTTTTCTTTCAAAAGTATTTCAATGCATATTCTGTAAGAAAGGTAATTTAATAGCTACCCACCCAAGTTTTGAATCATGATTTTGCTTAGAATTAATATGGTAACGCTCTCTAAAAATAAATTTTGGTGAGATGTTCTTATTGCTAGATGACCTGAGCTTAAGTGCATTCTTATAAATACCATTTGCCTTGCATCCACCTTCTTAAGAACCACATAAGAAATATTAATGTGCAATCATTTCTAAGTTGTTTTGATTCATTTTTTGACCCAAAAACAATGAATCTTAGTAAAAGAAGGCTAAAATCTGGATCAAATTTTAACTAATGCATGTATAAATGAAAGATTTTATTCTCCTTAATTAACTGCAAAGCCATGGTGTGGACCATGATTAAATAGGGTGGGACCATTATATCCCATGGGATCACAATTATTTATGTTAAAAGATAAAAATCTTTCTTCTAGATCAGCAGGGTTAGTTACTCAGGTGAGCATTGATAATGTGGCTCATGGGTCTCTGTGTATCGATTAGATTCCATTTTGTCAATACTTCCAAGGTCATTTCCTTGTAATATATAACATACATGTATGTAAATATTTATTATATACTTCATACAATTGTTCATTTTCAGTAAGGGGATACGAAGCTAAAATTTATCATGCTTAAAATTAAGGAACAGTCTTAATATAGATCATGTATAACCATGCATACTGTGGCTTTCCACTGGAATGTACCCTGAACCTCAGTTAACATCATGTATGAATCTAAGGTCAAGGCCATTCTTAATTTGTTATTTAAAATAAATCTTCCTTTGTCATGAAAGCAATTTTTTTCTTTAGGTATATCAATGTCAACAATATGTAGACACCTACATTATAGAAAGCTATGGTATTACCTTTCATGATAAACATACACCTCAACAACCCCCGTCAATTATTATAGCTTTTACTTATAAATGGAAAGCAATGCTTGTTTTGTCCATAAAATAGCTATAGTCTAAGGTTACTATATATTTATATATTTAATATCCCATTGTCATAGGATACAGTAACTGGATTCAAATTGAAAGTTGTATATGTCTTATGTTTTTCTTCTGTTTGATAAAAAAAAGCCCATTAGTATATATAATTGTAGATTCATCAGTAAATTCTCATATTATCACTTTTCATTATTTTCACCAGTTCACTGCTTAAAGAAATATGTTTATTAATAAGTTTCAAGGATATATGGTGCATAAATACAAGTCCAGCATTGCAATTTGTTCTGTGTTTTGACGTACTGTGTGCATTAAGTTGCAGTCATTTTCTGTTCTCATTTACGAACTACTAAGTATCATAGTAAATATTCATTGTTATTTACAATATCTTAAATGGAATTTTTCCAAGTGAAACATTGATATATATTTTTTTGTCTTCTTGAGCACGATGAAAAGTCTATTCTGAAAAATGAAGCATCAAATTTTAATGTTTTCCTTAGTGGATTTACTAATAAAATTAAATATTTTGGCATGCTGGTATATTATTATATTGGTATTAAAGTAAACTACTGGTTTCTTTTTTTTTTTTTTTACTATCTTGCATTTTTAATATGTGCCAAATGACTTTTATAGTATAATGTTTCAATTATTAACTGACTTTTTTCAAAAGCAAATGTTTGAAACCTTCATATTTGTACATTGTCTTGTTTTTACAAGAATTTTTCCATGATTTGAATGACCTTTATTTACTGCCCTTTTCTCTCTCTTATTTATGTTGGTGGTTGAAATAAGAATATTCTCTCACTTATTTATTGCACCATTTTAATGGCAGACATTTGCATCTATTTAACTTGAGGGTATTTCTGGTAGATGAATGTTGTCAAAGAAAATTTAAATTGTTCTATAGAAGCATTAAGAGCCATTCAACACACCAGTTTGTATTTTTGTAATCCCATTTTTATACACGGTGTATTTGAAGTGTTATTGGTTACTCTCAGACCAGTGTCATACAACTTTTACATAACAAATAAAAACTATTTTTAACTAAGAGTACAATTTTCATTTCTTGGAAAGGAATGCATACCGGTATATACATGCTATAAATATACTTTTTGCTGAGTCATAATTCCATGAAATCATAATTTCTGATCAATCTGCAGGTAGGAAATTATGCCAAATTTTTGCTTTTGTATAGGTCTCAATGACAAAGAATGCTTTGACAAAGTTTGGTGGAAAAATTCTTACTGCATACTTGAAAAGCATAAATTATAATTCCGTTCAAAAGAAAGTATGTCTATAGTATCTTTTAAAGCACTATATGGGTCAACTAACTCAGAGAATGATTTCTAAAAGAATTTTTTGCTTCATTTCCAATATAGTCACGAGTGGTGCAATGGCTAGAGCATCTGCTCTAGAGTCACTGAATAAGTAGTCAATCATTGATGAAACTTTTTTTAACTGAGACCCTATGTTGCAGTAGCTAGGTGTTGGCATGAAAAAGATCCCTCACTGCTCAATGTCCCATAGTGCTAACGGTAAGTATAAAACAAAATTTGCAGCTCCCTACTGGCAAGTCAGGTGGCCTAGCTAATTTAAAAATAATGAGCAATGTAGTGTTTAGAAAAATTGCGTGATATCCATTTCTCATAATTTTACATTCATATTATTGTACATACAGTTATGGTTGATATTTTGTAATAATTACTTAATATGATTTTTAGTTCACCTTAACGAAGTTGGGGGAGCTTATGTGATACCCTTGGCGTCCCAGGTTAAGGTTATTGGCATGATTTTCTTTCTAAGTACTTTCACGCCTAACATTGATAAGACTTGCATGAAAGATGCTTCCAGTGGGTTTAATTGTACAGATAAAGTTTTAGATGCAATTCAGCAAAAGAATGACCAGGTTAATGTGTTTGGAGCAAGTTAACATTTTTGATGCAGGTTAAAGTTTTAGGTCACCTGAGTAAACTCAGGTGACCTATTGCTATCCGTTTTTGTCGTTCGTCGTGCGTTAACATTTAAACATTTTCAGCTTCTTCTCTGAAACTATGGAAGGGAATTACCGCCAAAAGTCTATGTATCTTGCTTTTATTCTTATTCTGCCTACTTCTTTATGCTTTGTTATTATTGTAATTATATGTCACTTTATTGTTTTCATATTCGTCTTTATTACATTTCACTTTGACTTTTATCCCTCTTCATTTTGCCCTTACTTCTATGTTGCTTTATTCTTGTAAATTCATTTTACTTTCTATTAAATTGATACAGTTTCTTAAATGATTATAACTATTACGAACGTTAACTCAATCACGCAAACAATGAAGCATATTCAATGAAGAAGAATACAAGTTGTCCGAATTTAGTGCCGCATTATAACGCTAGGTGGCAGGGGTGTTCGCTAAGAGTGTTGGATAAATTAGGTAAGCAAACCCGTGCCGGGGTTATTCGAGTTTTTTTTTCAATTTTCTGCCTTAATACTTTATTAATCAAACTTAAATTTTTAAAAGACTGATGTTTGTTATAAGTCCAGGTATGTACCCGATGCATGCCATTTCCTCGGAAGTCTCGCTAGTTGGTAAGATTTCCCCTGGAAGACTGACTACATAGTGATGCTTCCTTCGGAAGACTATACCGTGGGACTCCCCCCGAATAGTTTTTTAAATCGTAAAACAATGTTTATATATACTAACGTTTTCAGTTTTTGAAGAAAATTTATCCGTTCTATCAGGGACCTATATACTAGGTTTTATATGAATAAATATTTAAATAATATCATTTTAATAGTGTTTTATAATTAAATCATTTTAACCATTTAGTTAGACATAGATAATCTTCACGAGTACATATGGATAATAATCCTTCTCTCTCTCTCTCTCTCCCCCCCCCCCTCCCCCCCTGGATGCAGTCGCCCATGTGGCACTGTGGTTACGGCGTCTGCTCTATATAGAGTCACGAAGTACAGTAGTAAGGAGTCGATCAATACGTCGTGGGTTCGAATCCCACTATAGGATGTGGAGTTCGGTCCTTCGGATGAGATCTAGACCGCATTATCCGAGGTCCCGTGTCGCAGTAGGTGCTGGCACGAAAAAGGATCCCTCACTGCTCAATGGCTATAAGTGCCGAGTATATAGGACAAATTTGCAGCTCTCCACCGGCATGAGGTGGCTTCTCCATTTGAGTGAAAAATTCTCGAAAAGGAAATTATACAATGTACAACTACACCACCAAAGTCTCAATATATATACTGACTTCCGGGTGGACGACCTCCTATGGGGTAAGTTTCATCGGTAGAGGGGAGGGTGGTCAAGAAACATTTTCCTAAACGTAACTTTTTACAACTGGAAAAGTTCAGCGAAAGGCTCTTTGTCCCCCCCCCCCCCCATCCCTTATCCTTACACTTTTTGTTGCAGTACTAATAGTCAATTTATATGTACTTAGTGGCATATGAGTGAAATTTATTACTGAAAAAAGTTGACGACCCCCCCCCCCCCTTCACCACCACCAAATAGAATTTTCGACTTTTAAGATTTTTTTAGCTCTCCTGGTTGATGACAAACACGATGCGTACTAAAGATATTTCTTTCTTTATTAAAAAGTGCTATTTTAATATAAAATATTAACGCAGAAAAAAAGACCAGGGTGTTTCTAGTGTGCCTGGGTGCATGTAGTCTAGTTCCGACTTCACCTTCCATGCGCGGATCTAGAGGGGGTAGGACCCCCTGGAATTAACAAGGTTACTAAAACAAGGGAAAAAGTTACCCACCCCCACCCCCACGAAAAAGAATTTTGACGTTTGAGCGAGTTTAGGTTTTTTTTCTTCTCTTTATGCTTGTCAAGAAATTTCTTGGATTAGATTTTTTTTTTACTTGGTGCCCCCCCCCCTCCCCCCTGGAAAAAAAATCTGGATCCGCTCCTGCCTACCCATAACGCTCCTCACTCATTTACAAAGCCCTGTCCCTAGAATCACGCGCATCAACAGTTACTATCTGTCGTGAAATAAAGTTCAATTCAGTGGAAGGTTCTGAAAATCAACCCAATTTACAAGGGTTAACTAGTATCAAAATATTTAAAATTTTTATAACAATTAAACTGTAATTCAAATCACAGGCGCTTGATGTTTTTAACCTTTCTCTTTATAAATAAAAATTTTTCCCTACTATAATAATATTATTATTATAGTAGGGAAAATTTTTATTTATAAAGAGAAAGGTTAAAAACGTCAAGCGCCTGTGATTCAAATATCCAACAAATAACTTTAGTAGAGTTATATTTTTCAGGCGAGAGAACAGTGACGTAGCATCGTTTTTGAAAGTGGGGAGGGGGGCAACAAGAGAATAAATATTCAAGCTGCCCGGCTGAAAACAACTTGACAAGCGCAAAATAAACCCCAGGAAATTGTCCAAACTTGAAAATACATAGGCGTCGGAACCGGGAAGGGGGGGGGGGGGCTTAGCCCCCACTTCTTTCCAAAGATAGACTTAGTATATATAGACATTGAACATTCCTGCGTAGGTTTAGCCCCCCCCCCCCCCCCACTTTCCATGGACACGATGCAGTGGAGGTTTAAAATGGGGAAAGAGGTGGTATTTGGAGAGAAAAAACTTTGGCATTGGAGTTCGAACCTTCAACCCACCCCACCCCACCCCTCCTCACGAAATAGTATTTTTGTGTTTGAAAAATGGACATTTTTTTTTTGCTTATCAGGTTTTTTAGAAGGTCTAAAAAAAATTCTTACACTTACCCCCCCCCCCCCCTCAACTTTCAATTAACTAGCGACGCCAATGAAAACCTATTTCGGGGGCGGGGGGTTGAGTTAGATTCAAATTCTTCTATAGAATCAAATTTAAATTTTCTTCCTACTACACGTACTACATAACAAAAAGTGGGTCGGCCTTTAAATGAACATATTCAGTATAGTATAAAGTTACGTCTGAAATAAAGAAGCCGCTATTCCTGTGTGCCCAGAGAAAATAGATATGGAGTTTCCATCATTGGATCGGGAGATCGGATCCGGCCTTCAGCAGTTCGATTGATAAACTATTAAGGCGTATTGAAGAATCTCAAATAACCCGACCCGGGTTTGCTTACCTAGTTTTACCAACACTCGT